CGTCTCGAGAAGGAGAGTAAATATTCTAGTACGCTCTTGCCTACTGGGAGTCTGCCCAAACCAAGAAATTATTCTCACCAGTTACCTCCCTTATCAGATTTGAGCTTGTCGGATGTTGACGAGGAGTAAGAAAGAGATGTAGTTCGGATTATAAAGGCAGAAATTAGTTCTGTTCGTATAAATTATTAAAGTCAGTCTACAATATTAGTTATAGCGACCCAACGTCCTCTGAATAAGCATATAATTCGAAGTTTTGCTCCTCTCCCGTTAAATAAATTGAATATATTGGGGCTGAGGTAAAAAGATACGGAAATAAAATTGTGCGCGTCTCCTACTAGACTAGCTATCTTTGCCGGGGTAGATCATTTGAATATGTTATAAAAAATACAACGTAATCTTTGTGAAAATAGTAAAGAGTTGATGCTGATCGTTCCTGGATAAACAATGCGTAGCTACATTCGAGCTCCGCTGACACTGCTTTCAATTATTGTTCAAATTTTATTCCATTTTGACATTGATACAATGTTGTTTGTAGCCTTGATAGATGTAATGACCGTTTCATGACTTCTGCAAGCAATTATCCTACTAACCCCATCACGAAACAACGGACGGTAAGAAGTCCGACACTGAACCCCGTTAACAGTAAAAGGCAGATTCCATACCTGTCCGGTCTTGTAAACATCGCTGGTAGTATGAATGATCGATCTACCGAAATAAATTGCCGTACACGAGTGTGTCAACCACAGATGCCGATATCATATCGACTGTGCGAAATAGTTTTTGGTCTGCGTCACCATTCCTAACCTCTGGCCGAGAGTCTGAACAAAATCTAGCCAGGGGTAACATTCACGCATCGTTGTTTTTGAATCTAGACCTTTCGGTGATATGTTCTATATCGCGCAAATCGAGGAAGTATTCCGACCTGAAACTTTCCCAAGTCTGCTCGTTTTGCCTGAATAAATCGGATATTTCCCATAACAAGGTAACGCTGTAAGACCAATATTCAAATCGACCATCTGTTACCCAAACTGAACATATTGGTGTATTGCTTTAAGCATTCGGGGCAAGAAATCTATACTCACTAGTTGACGGCAAAAAATGGCGAACGTGTCATCATGTAACTGCACTCTCACTTTCGACACTTTGAATTTCCATCACCGGTTATGTCCCATCCCTACATGCGACCAGGACCACCATAAAGCCGAGTTTTGAATAAAGTGTTCTGTCTTTATAAGGCAATTTCTCGATCTATAGAAAAGAAGAAGAGAATTAGAGCAAAGAACAAATAACCGAGACGAATTCCTAACAATCGACAAAAGAAATACCGCGATTGCGACATGAATGGTTACTCTAAATACCATAATCCGTCCCATAAGTAAGCGAGTATCCCGATGGCTGAAACAATTTATTCGGCCTCCGAACTTGCCTTCTGTACTTTTACGCAGAAACGTAGCCCATATGAAACTGTGTTTGAATCCGTTCGTCTTTTTTCCAACCCGATTTTGTTAGCATACAGCATTGTCATCCGTTGGTTCACAAGCTTAAGTGCGGTGCTAACAAGTGATCAAACGGCGTCCATAGCCTAAGGAGATTTGCGCAGTCGAACAGTCATGTTGAGTTACGAGACAGCGTATTCCAATAGCAAACGAATTATCGTTCGATTCTAGATATTAATTCATAGTATTACTTTGTCGTTAGATGAAACAATCATGATCACTTACATTCTCTCGTAGAGCACTGATTAATGTCATTGATTTCATTCTTTGTGTAGTTCGAGCCTATTACCCTCTGTATTCCACTGGTAAAGGCGTTCAACCAATACAAGGTATATATAAGCTCCAAATCTTGAATTCGCGAATAATCCAGTCCGATTACGGGTTGCTGGGATAATCCGTTCTCGTAATGACAATCTTGCCAGATTCGTGAGATGATAAAGGTATGGGAAGTAGACAATAAACCCGCTGAATGATTGGTGGGTTAATTGTAAAGACATTTCGTGATGACTATCCAACTTCTGTGAGTTATGCTTCTTGTCAACATTGAGTAGCGTTACTTGTGTGTAGTTGCTGCAATCTGATTGTAATTTGAGACATGAAAACTGTGGTTAGTTGGTACTTTACAACGGTGGTTTCCCACCCAAGTCCGAAAGTTTCAATATAAGCAATGCTGTCTTCTGCAACGAGTACATGGAGCATATAATTGATAAGGGTGGTGGATAACTTTTCAAGTGGCAAATTGTAATCAGCCAATCAAAGTCAGTGAAAATTGAAGACAAAATTTCGTGTCCCATTTCCGTTGTATTTCTTTCATTCCAAGGCGTCGAGTGTTTATTCTTTGCAAAAAAAATATATTTCAGAAAGCCATTAAAGCTCTTTCTCGCAATTCCCACGCTCTAAGTGTAGATATTAGATGACTCGTTCGGCCATAAATTCCATGTTCCAGAATATGTCGTTCTTCTTCCGAAAGTTGGTTCATAGAAATTAGATAGAATTTCTACATTTGGTACTGCTTTATATCCTAATAACACAAGTCCATTACTATTACTTAATTCTTTATACTGTAGTTCTATATAGGACTACTATGGTTGTATTCAAATCGATTTAAGGAAATGTTTGGCTATGCATAACTTTGAATTGTAAGTTTTTCCTTCCGACAACTTAAAAGTGCAAATATAGACATAGACAACGTATAAAATCAATCGCGTTTCAACGCCAAGAATACATGGGAAATCCAGCAGTCTGTCCCGGTTGCACATTTGAAAGATCTATCTCGCGCGATAGTTTCTTCCGTATTATTAATTCAATGACCAAACTTTATTCTCAACAGGACAAGCGTATGTTGCCTTAATCATAAGCAGTCAAACACCGACATTAGTCCGTAAGTTTTTTACGACTCTCGATAAACCGTTACCATCACCTTATAAGTTTCTTGTAATCTTCACCAATAACCAATTTTAATTAAAAACCGAATTAAAAACTATTACTTGGGAAGGTGCACTGTGATAACGGTAATAGTTACGTTCCCAGATTGCGATATCGTGTAACATTCTTATTTATCTGGAGAGCATTTATACAGGTTGTATTTGCTGGAATTGAGTCTTAATTTTATTAGCTAACAATTTGACTTTAGTTTGTTTTTGGGGCAAAGAAGGTAAAGGCTTAGGGACTTGTTTTTCTCACCATTCCTTAATTTCTTTAGCCAGTATTTCTTTAATTTTTTTTCTTTTCTGGCTTTTTCTTGCAATTCTTGGATGACAGGCATTTTGGTGTCTAAGGCTTCCTGAAGGTTAGCTAAATGTTCTTTTTCTTCTTTTTCCAAATTATTTATATGTTCTTGACAATCAGCAATTTCTTTTACTCATTCTTTTCTTTTTTTGTCTCTTTCAACTAATTCCTTATATGCCAGCTGTTGAAGAGGATGAGTATAATCAGCAGCTACCATTTCTTCAATGATTAGATTTAGTTCAACTGGTAATTCATTTTGGGAGTAAAATTGTTTTTGTCCTAAATACTCTCTAATTCAAACTGGTTGATCAAGAGGTTTATTAAGTTTGCTAACTAGTTCTCATTGTCTTTTTTAGCTACTTTCTATAGACTCTGTTGTTGAGTTCTTCAGGCTCTCTCAGAGCTTTTTTAAGCTGCTATTGTAATCAGTAAAATCTTAGTAATCAGTATCACAGTATCATGTTACTTTTTGCTAGCTTATCAGTTCAAATTTGCCTCATTATTTAAAAACATAAGGCGCAATTTTCTCTCCTTGAGCTTTTTTTAGAATGCTTCTAATAGTGCTGTAATTTTTTGGTTCCATAGTGGATTTGATGTAAATTAGTTTCATATTAATATTTTTTTATATAGGAATAATCCTATATTAATTATGTTATGGTTTATATTCATCACATTCTGGTATGATAAAGTGAGCATTAAAATTAACAATTCCATAAATTATGATGAGCACCATTATTAGTTTTCAAAACGTCATCAGTCACCCTGGTCAATTTTACAGCCACATCATAATCAGCCCCACATTTATAGAATGTTCATTTTATTTGGTTTTGTTGCAGTCTGCCCCATATTAATATGTGACTTCCCCCATGTTTGTATTACTATGGATATCGTACCCCCCCCCCCCAATTAAGCGCTAAATATTAAATAAAGTGAAATTGTATGTCACATGAAAAAAGTCTGAAAAAATTCTAAATAACTCTAAAATTTTTCTAAAATTTAACTTTCTTTATCTTGGGAATACTTGCAACGCATATAGCCCCATAACAAATGTTACTGCAGCAATCTGCATTTTGTGTACAAGCATTACCATTTTGAATACAGCAATTGGGAGCTATTGTAGTAGTGATAGTCTGCGTTTGAGTTTCCGTAACGGTATTTGTTTGAGTTTGAGTAATGGTTTCTGTACCGCCATTTTCAGTAACGGTGACTGTATTCGTTTGAGTTTGAGTAATGGTTTCTGTACCGCCATTTTCAGTAACGGTGTCTGTTTGAGTTTGAGTTTGCGTAATGGTTTCTGTACCGCCATTTTCAGTAACGGTGTCTGTTTGCGTTTGAGTTTGAGTAACAGTTTTAGCACAGTCAGTGACGGTTTTTGTTGTAGCTTTACTAATGGTTTTAGTCATGGCCTTGGTCTTGGTCTTGGTGCATCTAGTCTTGGTCTTGGTCATGGTCCTAGTTACGGTAGGAGTATGTTGGCATTGATGTCTGGTGACCGTTACGACATTACTGCACGTATGGTTTGCTTCAACAACGTTCAATGCTAAAAAGCAAAGGAAACCGGCAAAAAGAAAAAGTGTACGGAAATACATCATGCGATTTATTTATGAAACTAAAGATATTAAGAAATATTGTAAACGACGAAAAAAAAATTGGTGGGAAGTCTTCTCCACTTATATTAAAAAATTTAAAATGCGGTAGTGTAAGCATATTTATAAACAAACTTCACTAACTAGCACTACATGGGCGAGCTGTATTGGTCCTCTTGTTAATCACTCGCAGAAAGCAACAAATAATGGAATTTTCAATTTCTTTTATTTTTCGTCCTGGTTGGCTAAATATAAACGCACTGAATCTGTGCACAACGACAAGAACGAATCGAAATTTCGCATTGTGTAGTGGACACAAACACGCCTAGAGTAATTTTAATAGTAGTTACACAAGCGTAGTTATTGGCGTATGTTAACATGAATTTTCGTTAGATATTAACTAGAGGTTTATTTGTTAGCCGCCTTCCGCGGCGGGTAAAAAGGGAGGAAAAGATTGGGTTTGTAGAAAAATATACAGTAATAATGCATTTATTATTGAGGAAAATTGGTGTGTGAAATTTATGAAATGGGGTTATACGTTTGACGTTAGTTGTTCTAGTCAGTTATATTCTTGAATTACTTCAAGTTTAACATATTTATTGAAGAATGTGTTGGGGAACCTGTCTCGGTCCAGAACTGAGACAAGTCTCGAACTTACAGCTTTTCTGGTTCAGGCTCTCATACAGAAACATCATAGACTGTTGCAACACCAGTTTCAGATGTTTGTGGATATTCAAACATAGTATAAACTTGATAAATAATTAATTTATGCCCAGAGATAACCAGCCAATTGAGGTCTTGTCTATACATTATTAAAAGCTACTTATGTTCTACCCAGTTTAATGATGTTTGTGGTACAGTATCGACAATCCTAAGTGCTAATGTTTCTCCATACGAGCGCACTTAATAGTTTATTCGCTCGGTTTTTTCGTACAAATGTACAAATTTATTAAAATGTATTATCGCCCCCCGCACTTAGGTCAAATAATCGTAACGTTGGATGTGTTTTATACACGTGCTGATATTATTTCTACTTGCAAGCCATTTTGTTTCTCTCTAGTAAAGTAATGTATGTAAACTTAATGATAATAACAGATAATTAGTCGAACTAATGTTCAGTGTTTCGGTCAAACGACCTGCTATAATCGTTGATTTACATACACGATAGGTTGGATTGCATAATGTTCATACTTTTTCCGACTACCATTATTGATTTTGATCCCCCTTCAGTTTCGATCAATTTGTTATCAAATTTAGTTTGTTTTAATACTAACAATGATTGGACAACGGGCGGGGGTAATTTTATTTGTTTAACTAGCGAGTCAGACCACACTTTAGTGGTAAAGCGGTAAAATTACCCGGTCGAATTGCAAAGAACTATTGGGCAATATCAGGTTTGTTCAATATTAAATTTTCGCAATTCACCATTAGAGACACTCAAACCTCGTTACATCAAATTTGTTATACCGAATTTTTGTTTTACCAAAGTAATGACTCCTCCGCTTTTTTCACTAGTAAAGGTTTCTCTTATAAACAAATTTAACACTTTGTTGCTGAAATTGCTACTAATCGCTTACACCGAACGTAATCAAAAATTAGCATAACGAGTGACTGTGGACGAGGCGTTTATTTTCCCGACAGTTCACTTTCCCGACAATTATTTTCGACAATTTCCGCTGAAATTATCTTAGCCGAAATATTTATTGGGAATTATTGTCGGGGAAATGAACCAGACCCGATTGTGGCATATAAGATTCATATGATTTTCGGTCATACGCTTTCTTATTCTACTAAAGACGGTGACGCTGCAAAAACAAAAGTCAAAATAGATTTATTTGTAACTGAGTAGTCAACCCGTTTATATGCATGTACTAATTGCTTGTAGATTGAAGTAAAAAGACTATTCAGTAAAGTCTCATTATAAAACGAATATAGGCCTAAGCCAAGATATCACATTGTCCGAAACTCTCGTCATATACCGAATTCGTAAATGGCGCTACCTCCACATTTCGTATACCGTAACTGCAGTAAGTAGTACATTTGTTACTGTCAAACAGTTCTTATTAATTGATATACTGTATTTCTCGTCATCCCCGTAATAATTGGCCAGAAAATTAACCATATTTTGTTGGCTGTTTTTAATCAACTGAACTCATATTTTGGTGAACACTTCAAATTTTGAATTCCTTTGTATTCCGTTTGACAGGATTTTATATAATCCGGAGCAATTAATTTGTACAATCTTAGCTGCAGCAGTAACAATAGATTCCAACATCTGATGTTGCGCCGCCGCTCATCAATACCCTTTGTCGCAGATTACCTTATTGCTTGTCACAAATCCTACATCTTCAGTTCAAAAATAAGTTATTAGCTTTTTATAGAGCTCTATGTATTCAAATGTTAATGTCGTGAACTAACAAGGTCTTCTCTGCGAACAATATTAAATTGTCACTAAATACTGACACTCAAATGCCAGCTTACGGTTATCTAGATGTCTAATGAATAGTGAGGGTATAAAATAGTTATTCCAAAGCCTCTATAATAGCCATAATACCCAACTATTGTTTCTAAGAAAGGATAGGTAAAAAACCCCAGTAAACAAAAAAAAGGAACGTTTTGTCATCCTATTTCTGGACATAATTAAAAATATGTACAAATTACCACAACAACGATAAATTAAGTTGTAAAAAGAAATCTGGGGGTCTAAGAGAATCCTTTATACGATATTTCGTAATGGCTACTGCCAGAGATCTTCCTATCCTTTGAAATAGAATAGCTCAAACACTAAGGCTTGGATTTATTATAACGCCCGGTAACGTTAATGTCTACGAAGGAAATTCCAACTAATTTCAACGCGGCCAGCCGATAAAGGGGCTATTTTCTGAAACGAAGCAGGACTCAAGTCGAGATCGCCCAATTGGCATCCCACACATCTATCGACAAGTGTAGCAACGACAGAACCAAGAGGCCCCCTGATTTTTATTCGACGACCACAGAATGGAGATTCGTTGGGGTTTGGAGGAGTGCCAAATTGAAGTGCACTCTAATCGTGAGGCAAAGAAATAATAGATTTTGAGAATGTTTACAGAAAATGTTGCAACCATCGCAACGCTAAGCAATAGTCTTGGCATCGTCGTATTGTAATGAATTGATACTTACCAGTGCAGCAACAAGTTGGTTGTCGTTATTGTATTTTCCACAAGCACCAAGACCGACTGTATAATATGTGCCCTGCCCGACGAATCTCTTGTGCAGCAACGGAGCTGCTTGAATACTGTTGACTATTCCGAAAATGAATAGAAAACATAGAATAATTATTGATCTAGTCATTGAAGCGATTGAAAGAGAATATATATGATGATTTTGAAAGAACGTATAAAGGGGGGGGGGGGGTAATGTAGTATTTATTCGTAATGGAATTTCAGTGGTGTAAGAGAAGTCTCTTAAATCGATAAACGACTTTTAAAGAGATGTTTAAAGGAATGAGTGATCTCTTTCAATGCAGCGATAGACGACCATAGGCTTGTGAAAGGGTAATTTTCTACGAAACAAAAACCATCAGCAAGCATCTCGGTATATATGTGCCATCCCTGCAGCCGAGTTGACTTTCTAGACGCTGTTGTGTCCCCACATGTGCGTGGCTTTTTAATTACAAAAATTGATTTCGGCATGTCATACAGCCCATAATGGGACAGAAACAGCCGAGCATCCAATGAGAAGATAATTTCTACGATGGTTTTATAATGTATTGGCTACTTTTTCGGAAAAAGTTCGCTTATGATTGGAAACATTCGTCGTTATACAGGCGGTACTTGTGCGCAAAAGGACGTTTTGTCTACAAATTGTCATTTGAAATTAGGTACACTGATATTGTCATTGGATATGATAAAGTGATACAAACGAAATTCAATTACGCAATTGCGCAAATAAAAGATATTGACAAAAGCCTTTGTTCATGTGTGTATCATACCACAATTCTTGCCTCTTTAAACATTCCAAGGCTCGTCTGTCTGCTTTATGTGATTTTTCAGTCTATTGCTTCCGGTGCTGTGTAACATACGAAACTGCCGGATAATCTATAATTATTAGTCAAGAGGACAATTACTGATTGTGAGCGGGGTAGTTCAGTAGTTATGGGATCACATGTCAGATTGACCAGGAACGACAGCGTTGATTGGACAAAATTGTAGAAACATCCGATCGATCATACGCAAGGGCATAAGGAGTGATCGACATTGTTAAAATCGTTACGTAAAGTATAATCACAATAATGTTAGGGGGGTTAGCTTATAACAGTAATTGTCGTCAGTCAAACCTCGTTATACCGAATTTTTGCTATATCGAAAAAATTCTGGCTCACCCCCGTTTTCCAAATAGTAAAACTCCCTCCTTTTAATAGTAAAATTTCTTTATACCGTTTACGAAGTTCGATGCAGGATTGTTACATATGCTACCAATCGCTTTATACCACAGAATAGTGATTGGCCGTAACAGATGAGATCATACGGTTTTTGGTCATATGATTTCCAAGTCTTAATCGTACGATTTATAATTACCTTCAACAAGGCGACATAGGAATTAATTATAATGAATTTAAAGCCTTCGTGCAAAGCAAAAACAGATTCGAATAGACTCATTTGTTACTGATCAACATAACAGTTTCATAAAAATGTTGTTCAACATAAGCCTCATTATACCGAATAATGCTTTAATCTTTGTTATCTAGATGTATATCACTACCGTATCCCCTCATAGTGAATAAGCACCTCTTGATTACCACTTTTCTCTCACAGACAGTTACATAATAACAGGTAATTATAAATTTTTTTTATAAAAAGTCTTCGTTACTGCGATTACTGGTAAACTTCATTGTTTATGTGATGCTTTCCGATCATTTTCATATGATCGAAGGGATCGGTATACCGAATTGTGCCCCGACACTTTGGTATAACGAAATTCGACTGTAACTGGGAAGATAGCAATACAAAAGTTATGCAATACTCACACGTTGATTGGCTGAGGATTTGTTTGGCTCGGATATGCGCACAGAATTTCAACGTTGAGATTATACGTTAGAGTAAAAAGGCTGTTAATTAGACAATTTTATGTCATGGTTGCTTGGCTTGGTATTGACGGAATGTTTTAAAAATGTCCCAATACATTTTATCCTGATATATTATGTAGAATTTTTTTTGTCAGATGCCATAGTTAAGTTAGTTAAAAGTGACTCAAAATCCGTATCTGGCACAAAATGCAAAACGTGACGGAATTTTAGTGTCAGTGCAAATGCCACATTTTACTCGTTTTTGAGGTATTTATTAATGTTGGAACGGTAACGCTTTCCGCGTGTCAGAAAATATATATTAGTAGCTCGTTATACCATTGTCAAACGCATGTCCAACATGCTTATTTGAAACAATTAAATAATTCTTATATCTATAAAATAAACTGCCTTTAAATTAAATTACTTTATTCTTTTAGCATTAAAAATATTAATTATCCGAACATATCTTAAACGGTTACTTAAGCTATAAGGTTATACATATAAACGGTTCTGCCAAGCCGCAAAATCTTCGTTGATTAAATTACGCGCATAACGGGAAGAAACCCCATCGAAAACAATTATCGTTGTAAATATTATATCGTAAAGTGACGAGCTCATGTAGAAAAATAAAAAATGCGCAAATTGATTAAGATAATTAACAGTCTTAATAAAGGCAGTGATACAATTAAACTAAACTTGGTAATATCCTGGTCGGAAAATACACATTCAGAAAGACACTTTTTTCCCAAACTTCGATTACTTTTTTTCCTTTAGAATAATTTGGGCCAACAAGTGTCACAGTTTGATGTGGATTGCTGAAGAAAACGCGGTCCTAGCAGTGTGATATTTATCTAAACTATGATTATTAACATGTTACTCAAATCAGCATACAACTACGTTTCAAATAATAAACTTAAAATAAGCACCTAGACAATTAATAATAAACTAATATATTCCCAAAATGTTGAGAAATTTTAACGCAATAAGAAACTCAAATAAATGGCGCGACAAATTACAATGTACTGCGGCCTTCTGTTTGGGTCAACATCCAACATAATTTTGGTTCACCGTATTAGGTAAACTGCATCATTATAAAAAGTTGGATAAACTGTCTCAGTTCTGAACCAGTCACACTCGGTTGTCTCAATTCTGAATCAAACGCTTCCAGAACAAAAGCATGTTTCCAATTGAGGTTACAACACTATTTACATTACTGTTGTATGTCAGATCGGAATTTATGTCAATTCCGAAGTGATATGTATCAGATCTGAATTTTAGAACAACTCTTTAATGGCTCTTCTATTCTGCGGAAGCAAAGTGCTGACTTTAACAAAGACTACCCCGAAGACCCGGATGACAAAGGTCACTACCCTACGGGACGGGGCTGACCCGGTACGAACGGGCATCTTCTGACGTGACAAGTCAGTGCTTTACTTTAAGCTACAACCCCATACAAAATCTTTTGAGCGGGAACTTCTTTATTTTAGAGTGATTTTATCTTAAAGTAACTTTATTTTATCGAGCGAATAATATATTGTCGTATGTCAGTTTGGAAGCGACATAAAATTCTGATCTGACATAAATTCCGATCTGACATACAACATTACTATTCTGATATTTTATTAAACTAATGGTTGTTGAGTATCATTAATTACTACAATAGATGAGTCTTGTAATGTACAGTATTATCGTTGTTTTTGATTCATTCGAGCTGGCCCTTATGCTGCGGAAAATCTATACGGTTAAATAATTAATAATTTATTGAAAAGTTAATTTATTGTATGTGGCAGCAAACATTTAACGACATTATCAAAGACAAGTGCACTAATTTACTTGCAAATTTTTCTGAAAACATTGTTAAAAACTACAAACATACATAAATCTTACAAAAAAGTATGCCAAAAAAAACGTTCAAATATTTTCAAGGTAATAATCTTCAAACAAATATTAGTAATTAATTTATATTATTTTTAGTAAATTTACAGTCTCAACTGGGAGATATTATTGACAAGTACGTCAATTGTTTAAATCTTTATTTTGTTTCTTACCTTATGACAGTTACATTTTGAAACTTTTCAAACCTACAATCAGTTAGTTAAAATAGGATTAATTTATTGGCATTCATTAAGAATGGGTGGGAAGTCAGTGGGCTTAGAAGAATTAATATCTCATTGTATTGTTTTGGCGGTAAGGTGTAATCCACGACACGCGCCTTTTTATGCTGTAATTGCCATAAAATACGTAACAAGATCTGTCAAACTATTATATGCTATATACGAGTTTACCGAAAAAGGAGGCGTTCATTTCCCCGACAATTATTTCCGACAATTCCTGCTGAAATTATCTTAGTGGCGAAATATATGTTCTGGCCCGATCTGTCCATCAGCCCGATCTGAACCAGGTTGATTGTCATTGGTTGATTTTGTCAAACTTCCCCCTACATCTATCACCTAATCTTCCCAAACAGCGCCAAAACTATTACGTAAACATCGAAATAAAAATGATAAGAGGTCACTTCCATGTAAAGTTCTGGAAACCCTCGATGGGGGTTATTACCGTCTTGGCTTTGTTTTTGGAGTATTAGATAGGTGTTACTTAGCAGGTGAAATCGAAACTGTGAGCGCAGAGTTTCCAGAACTTGAAAATATTCCTGAGACTCGAACAGCGGCTTCCCGATTACAGAGTTCTGCTGCTGTCAATGCCCTATGCCATTGTAAGTCTGGTTGCACAACTAGCAGGTGTGCATGTAGGAAAGCAGGTGTCGCTTGTAGCTCTCGTTGCCATTCTTCAACATCTTGTAATAACAAAGATAATTAGACGTTCATATTATAATAATAATCACGTATTTGCGCAGGGTATCAGAAAAAGTCAGGTGATAGATTTAGGGGTTTGACAAAATCAACCAATGACAATCAACCTCGGGCTAATGGACAGATCGGGCCAGAACAGTTAAATATAAGATCTGCAAAGTGATAGTCGATGTTATGATACAGACTCCATACCGAACTTATATACATTAATCTCTTTTGCATTAGAAAAATTGATTTGCTTTGTATTTAATCATAAAATCTAATACACGGATAATGTATTTTATCAACTGGGTTGCTCTAATTATTATGTTCAACGAAAAAAAAAAGTAAGCACATTGTAATGACGATTTGTAGTAAACTAACTCGTGTCTAAATACGATAATTGATGTTAGATCAATTTTCTAAGAGCTATAAAGTTTTTTCAATGTAAACTCGCTCAAAGTGGATGAAAAGAGATTTGAGACGTACCGCTTTATTGTATGTATCGCTGAGTCTTATAGTAAAGAGTTTGAGCAAATGAGACCAAGTTAACGTTATGCAATAACGTCTAAAAAGATGATATAACGGTTACGTAAAGTACCTTAGATTATTATCACTCATACCTGATACAACCAACTATACAACACCTCAACCCATAGAGTCTTATACGACATACATAGATAACCAACTTTTACAACATTTTAAATGTGCCCCATTTATCGTAATAGTTGGAACGCACAAGTCAAAAACGTTGAATCTTTACCAAAGTAGCGAAAAGCTAGTTTATAATCGGTTGGCAGCGTAGCGGAACGTATAAAAAAGTAAAAGTCAATGTTCTAAGTAAATATTAAAGTTGCAATAATTACCACGTACTTGCTCAATTATGTTAAATACCTATATCAATATTGTATGGTATACATGCTGACAAGCTAAAACCTACCACAGCGAAGCGAAGTATTATTGGATATTTAACCTATGACGAAATATCACTTCACAATGGCAAATCTTTGCAGATCAACGAGCTAATCACATTTGGTCAAAGGGGGTGATGTAACGTTATCTAGTCATACGAGGGGGCTTGGATATACAAATTTGGTAATTAGTAAGGAATGCATTTAATAATAATACTTACATGTACTACAACTATGTGCAGCCAATATTATTCCATGGGGTTTTTTGCTAAGCATAAGAGAAGTCTCTAAGGTATATTCTTTGCAACGGTATTTCGAAGTTAAAAAATTTGACCTTTTATAAATACGGGGAGCCGGCGTCAGCTCCAAACAGCCAACCATTACGAAGACCAAAATCGATATGCTGATACTGGAAAAACGGTCTCTATGGATGTTATGAAAATTTGGTTATTACACAACTGTTACGTAGGAGTAAGTGGTAAACGATAAAGTCTAGTCAAACACTTTGTCTAGTTCTATGTAGAAATGCTAAAGAAAATATTTATTGTAATTATACGAGCTTTGTATGCAATGTTATGTGGTGATTAATTACAGACTTGTTTGATATTAACTCGCGACATAGAATTTAATAAAATTTCTTACTGTCTTTCCGTCACATTAACTGATGCAGTACGTACTGTATATTACATGCAAATTCATACTAATACTAACATATATTTCGTATTCACTCTATCGTTCATAAAATTACTCGCTGCATAGTAAAATATTGTTGGCAATAATTTCAGTGGTGGTAATGGAACAAAATTTTTGTAGTAATTAGATATAAGTTTTAAAACAATCAGCTAAGCTAATGCGTAGTATTTTAACATTTAAAACTTGTATTTAAACAGCAAAATATTTATTTCGTTAAAAGCTGTTGAACGAGTGGAGTGCTTGTTAGTTTTTTTAAAAATTTTGACAATTGATTCGAAAACGTTTGCCTTGGCTGTATTATGTTAGTTTCAATCATGTATTGTATCGTCTGCATGCAAACAGACTACGATTACTTTAGGTGTGTAAGCAGTTGTTAATAATAACAACACAACGTGAGCAACAACTAAATAATAAGCACTGCCACCAGAATTTGTTACAACAATTGCTTTTTTGCATAAGAACTAACACAATGGTTTATTATGACTACTTTTCTAAGTACTGACTAATTTACTTGGATTGACTATGAGTATACCCTTTTTGATAAAATCTCTGCACAGGATGTAACGAGTTGTTTCTTTCAAGTTTGAACATTGGCGTTTTGGCGCTTTGTTCCTTTCTACAATAAGCAATAAACAACCAATCAGCAATTAGTTTGTCCTCGCCAATCTTAAATATGGTTAACCCTCATTTCCTAACCAGATTGTTCTACTAGTCACATTGTTATAAAACACAGTGGTGTGAGGGTGTAATCCAAACTATTGTATCGAGAAACAAAGTCGGTGAAAGATCTGCTGCAACACGTGTCACGCAAGGCAATTTATAATTCGTCACTTTCTGGTTGTCTTTTTTTTCCCTTAAAAGACCTGTTTGCTGTTACCTGTTTGAAGCTAGTTTCTTCCAACCAATGTATTTTTGGCAAACACTAGATTCTGTTGATAACAATTAATCAATTGTCGGATCAATCTTTCTCCTTTTTTTTGCTATTCTCTCCGTTTTCCTTTACGCTCTGAAATTTTTTATGCACATTGTAGACGCCATGTGCAGGCTATTTTTAATTGGGACGAGTTTTCTTCCCACAAAGATAATGTGTATACAAACGAACCATTGCACAATTAGCTTTGTGAATGTACTCATTGTGTATACTTGCATATAGCACTCGCTGTAATGAAATCTACATACTAATACAACTACAATTAACAACAGCAACAGCACACAGCAACAACAACAATAACAGTATTAGAATACTGATTGTTTCTAACAATGCATGCTCATATGCGGATGCATTTTGGTCTTTCTTCAATAATTCATTGTCCAAGTACCAATGAAACATGTTTAAACGCCTCTATAACGCAAAAAGTAAGAAATTTTTTTTGGGGAAGTGACATTGAGCGGGGAACCCAATCGGTTCAGAGAAAAAAGAATGGGTTACCAGCACCAGTATTGTTTGTTCAACCGGTTTTTTCATTCACCATTACGCCAAGGATTGCGGAGGCCACACAGATCGCCCATTTGGATTTCACAAATACTTTAATTGGTAAGTGAATTACAATCTTGGATATTATAGTAAGATCTTGATAAGAAAGTAAACAGACTGGCATAGTCGGCTGCAAAAATCATATACGATGGATGGGGTACAACGGGATATGTATCTATCATACATTTTAGGGCCTCATACTGACGACTGCAAAGCGCAATAAAATAGTAAATAGTATTGTAATTCTGTAGAGTCTATCAAATGAGTTGACATCTGTGTGACATACAGTACGTTTTATATCTTTTCAACGCTTTCCATTATTAAACTATTTTTAGATTATACGAACAGTCGGGTCAATAAGCGTACCATTTATAGTTAATTCGGTTTACCTAATTTGTATCAATACTACCTTGCCACAGTGTACGAATCGTCGCTAACATCCCATTTAAGGTTTCTGCCACCGGCGTGTAACACTAGGTAGACCGTATGAAAAAGTGGCTTTGAATTGGCTAATGAGAAGCGATCCACCTGGTGTGCAACCTTTGCTGCAGGAGGATGTGGGGAACAGAGCCGTTGTTGAATGTTTGGGCGGACAAGCGAGCAAGTCAAGGAGATAGCAAATAGAACAAGTTTTGAGAACGTGTAGGAAGAAACATTGGAAAGATATTGCATCATACGGTATTTGTTGCACAACTTTTTTAATCTCTTCCATTACACCACTCCCCGCTCATACATACACATTCACACACACAATGAACTTGCAAACAATGAAATACTTGAAGTAATTAAAAATAATACATACATACACAGTGTGTGGCATACATCTCTATTCATCCAATAATCAACTAAATTGCATCTTGATGTTATTATGGTCCGTTCAATGACGATTTTCTCTTGTCTATCCCGCTGATTATTTTTTCCTATTATAGTGCGAGAGGATGTTCTGCAATGGACATCTTCCATGTGAAGATGGCCGATGGGGGGGGGGGAGATGAGGTGAGTGAGGGGAAGGGAGATTGCTTTTGATTCTAATTTACTTTTAAGGAAATGGTACACAAATTACTCGATCGAGCTGTTGTATTACAAAGGCAGTAAATGATGGGTTGGGTACAGCCGAAGAGCAAAAGTGAAAAAAAAAATTTTTTTTTTAGAATTGAATGACATTTTGTAATGTTTGTATTCAAGTGCGACAAGCGAAACTACGGGGAGAAAAGACAATGTTTATTTGTAAGCAAAAATACATTGTCGTTTGGTATGCATTTCCGTATTGTAGAACGAAACATCTTACTGTTATGATATAATAGTGTCTTACCAAAGTATCAACACAGTAGAAGAAGGGAGGGAAAATAACAATTGTCAGGCTAAAGGGACAATACAGCTCAAGACAAAATTGGGCAATCTTGCTCATAGCATTTATGTATATATGCTAGGATACTCTACTTTAATCTATATAAGTTACCATGTTAGTTGATTTTTGCAACGCCACGCCATTCATTGTTAATAAGATATCGAACAAACCATTATTAACGATTCAATTCATTTTTTGCCATATCCGCTTAGCGTCGTTTGAACCATCCCACCTGAACTGCTGTCTATCAACTTTAATTAACCTACCGACACATCGTTAATGTAGGTAAGCCACATAGAACGTCCATAGACGCTTTAACTGCATATCTATTTTTTGTCTCTTTCCATAAAACTGCTTTTCATTCAACATTAGGAATAGCCGAGTTTTTCCTTTATTTGGGTCGATGCATTGTTGACACAGCCGAACAATTATGTATTTATTTTGTTTGTTAGTTGGTACAATACTTAATAGTATATTCCTCCACAATGTATACGCCAAACCCTTAATTCGGAATGTAGTCCAAATAAAAAATTTCATGGAGGGTGAAACTGCATAAATAAGCCAACTCCCCCCATTTCCAGACGGCACAAAAAAACCAGCGACATTAGATTGTCTTTCTGAAAGCAGATAATAATAGACATACTAGAACTAGAGAAAAAATTTCAGTACTTTAATCAAATCACAACTCAACAAACCAAACCAAAAACCTTATTCGATCAAATCACTTGCATATACATACTATAATCAACAAATGATGTTCAGAAACAGTATCGTTCCGATCACCAACACCGCCGCCGCCGTTGTCAGCAAGAAGGCATTTACTCTGTCTCTCTTATCTCTCCCAAACGAGATCCTCCTCATAATTTTCGAAATGCTTGACATAGCATCTCTTTTCGCAGTCTCTGATACATGCACGCTATTCAACGCCTTATCCTGCGAATTCATCATCCAATCTTTCCAATCGCCAGACGTCACATTAAGACTCTCGTTCAATCAAGAATACAAATTAAAACCCCACGTCGAATTCCAATTTTCTCACTTCGACAAAAAGACACACAATCTAGTCTTCAAACCGACAACCGAGAAAACAATAAAATTCTACAACTCAGCAGTTGTACGCAAACCCACTCTATCCACTGCGGCATTAGTAACCGGTAACAATGAGACATGCCGCTTGGCAAAGGAAAACTTTCTTCAAAAGGCCTCGACGCTTTCCATCAAAAACTACGGAACCTTCAACGAAACACATATGATTACTCGAAACGACCATCAATCATCATACAACATCTTATACACTGTAAGCCCCACTCCCGAAAACATTGTACCGACAAGAAGCGGAGAGCGATGGGTAACACCCACAGAATTTTCGTGCCCTATCGAGTTCTTTTATCCACAAGGAAATAGCATATCAAAGATGATTATGAAGCTTTTTAGCAAACAACGAAAAAATATGACACCGACAAAGAAATTGTCAAAGAGAAAATGGGCAGACAGAAAAGCCATCGAGGCCAAAAAATATGAGATGGATCAAAATGAATTGACACCTGTCAGCAATTAAGTGGTAATAAGAAAATGAACATTTGAAAAAGAGAGAGAGAAAAAAAATCGTTTTAATAATAGACATTTACTTCTTAAAATAATCTACTATATAGACGATTATTAAGATGTTTCGCTTTAACAACCATTTTTTTTATGCTGGTAATGATAATTATATTATTATTATTAGTCTATAATATATAAATTGTAAATAATGCTTAATGTAATAAAAAAAAATTGGAAACGTTTTTGAAAACAAAATTATCGTTGCATGCAAATTTCTGTCCATGGTGTAACAAAGTAATTATGTAATTATACTAACAAGTCTTTGTTGTCCTTGTTGTCGATGGCGCAAATTACATTGTTTAACAGGTGGCACCTGTATGATGTTGGACCGACTTTTGTGCCTTGCGGGTACATGCATATTTGGAAATAACAGGTTTCGGTTGTCTATTTATGTGTGAGGGGGCTTGTGCTTGTCAATACTGTTTTTAGCCGGTACTAACTCATTAACAAAATCCAAGATTTTGTTGGCAAGAGCACCCACCCCTTTCCGATGGTGGGACCAATGAAATCATGATTCAAAATTAGAAACCCGAGACTGAGTGTTTAATTTATTAACATACAAGGAAATTTAAATGGTGTTGATTATTACAAGACAAAGTGCGAGTATTGAAAATTTTAACAAGAGAATATAAAATCAAAGTATTGATTGTTTCTACAAGTTGTTTGAGAAAGCCAATGCATATACGCACGTTTCAAAATGCAAGTCTTGTTGATATTTTTTGGAAAGCAGATGCTAGATACAGAAACATCATAGCCTGCAACCTGCTTGTCTGTTTGCCTGCTTGTCTGCTTGTGCTGCAGAGATCACAAGACTTGCTATGCGACATCAACAGCTGACGATTATGTGCGTGTTGTAAAGCGTCCGAATATTTGTTTACAATACATGATTATATGCATTGTTTAGTTCAATCAATGTACAACTTTTCAATGTCTTATCTAGCAAGCAGGCAGGCGTTTGTTTCAGTATAAACTAAAGTTGTGTTATTTTAATACATACGATCGAAGAAGAAGAAGAAGAAGAGGAGGAGGAGGAGGAGGAAAAACTACAACAGCAAAAGCCGATTATTAACAGTTGCCTAGCAGTAGTAATGATTATGATAACTAAAGTTTAATCTTATTTAAATTACCTGATAAATCAGTTTCAATGATTATGTAATTGTCGTAAGTTTGCATTTGTGCATGCGGTACAATATGACGTATTGCATATTTCTATGCACTACACGTATATTCATGCTGGCGTTTTATAATGGCGATTGTTTACGGCATTTTTTTTAAATATCGGAGTTAGTTGCAAAGTGTAATTAGAATTTTTATACAACTTGGTAGTCTATTTCGGAGATAGGTCGAAAAACTAGATTTGTCTCGATCTACAACGCAGCGAGCTGCTAATAATGAAAACGTTTTTTAAGCAAAAAGTTATATCAATAAGGCTAATCATTGAAAAGCAAACAATTGGTGTAGTATAAATAAAGTTAAATGTAAGATCTTGATGGTTTACTTAAATTTGATAGTATATTAATATTTACTTTTCCCACATACACATAAGCGGGCTTAACAGTTGAATAACTGCGCCAAAAGTTCAAAGTGTCGTGTCGCCAACTATCTGAAACGAAAACGCTCTGAATGACCTGCCCAATATCAGTTTGCATAGTTTGAGACAATATCACGCAATATAACATAACTATTGTGAAAAAGCTTCCCTCAATGGCAATTGATTACACAGTGTTACAATCGCTCACTTTACTAATAATAACGTTATGTCTTTAACTTTTCAACTCCTCATTTCGCAAAAAAAAAGTACCCGGTTTACGGTATATCATGTAGATTAGAAAGATAGACAGAGTGGGAAGGTGTTGGGAAAAGACCTTTTGTTCTTCTTTTCCCTTTTGTTTCCCTATGTTTC